GCTGCTGGAAATAGATAACCAGTGTAAAATCCTAAAACCAGGACAAGTTGTTGTTGAATGTGGAGCTGCTCCAGGTGCATGGACACAGGTTGCTGTCAGCAGAGTCAACAGTCTGCCAAACGGTAATTCTATTTAGCAGTCTAGTTGATATTCAGTTCATTGGACCCACATATATGCTGTGTAATCCTTAAGTTTGTGCTTAATATTTTTAGCACAGTTCCCCTTCTATGAGTTTTCCATGTTGCCATACACCCCTCATAATCACTGACCTAAGATTAAAATTTCACAAGATTAAAGGTAAAAACTTTAAAATTGCATATTTTTCTTAACCCTGTATAAGTAACACATATATTACAGCTACACTTTTTAAGTGAATTCTGGATATGATTAGAAAAAAATATATATATATTTCTCTCTCTCTCTCTCTCTCTCTCTCTCTCTCTCTCTCTCTCTCTCTCTCTCTCTCTCTCTCTCTCTCTCTCTCTCTCTCTCTCTCTCTCTCTCTCTCTCTCTCTCTCTCTCTCTCTCTCTCTCTATATATATATATATATATATATATATATATCCATACATTCATACATATACACACACACACACACACATGCATATTATATATATTTGATGTTATTTGTTATTGATTGATGATAAAATATGTGAATCACAGTCTATATAGGGAAGAGGAATGAGCACACTTTGTTTTGCACAGATAAAGACAAACCTCAGGGCATTGTGATAGGGGTTGACCTCACCTCCATTCATCCCCTACCTGGCGCTACTTTCCTCGGAGGGAAGGACTTCACATGTCCCAAGACACAGCAACAAATTTTAGACTTCCTTCAGGGAAGAAAAGTATGGACTTGCTATTAAGTTGTATCATTGGCTTATTATTCTCTCTCACATGGACTACTACAAATATTAATCATGTTTTGATATTCTGTTAATGATTTATCTTGCAGGTGAATGTTGTTTTATCTGATATGGCTCCCAATGCATCAGGCACAAAAGCACTTGATCATGAAAATATTATCAACCTTTCCTATTCTGCCTTGAGATTCGCTGTCCAGCATTCTGCCATTGGAGGATCTTATTTGTGCAAGGTACGTGCATCAACAGTGGCCCCTTTTTTCTCAATACTTACATGATAGTCTTTCAAAAACTGTCCTATTTAATGTTCCTTCTCTTTCCTTTTCCTCCTTCTTTTTTTTACTCCATGTTCTTATCCTCTCTCTTGAATTAAAACTAGTACAGCATTCATTCTTGTCTTTTAATAACCTTCCCTTTTCTAGATTTGGGAAGGCTTTATGTCGCAAAAGATATCAGAGGACATGAGGAAGTTTTACAAGAATGTGAAGACTATCAAGCCACCTTCAAGTAGGAGTGACTCAGCTGAGAAGTTTTTACTTTGTAGAAACTTCCTTGGCATTAAGTGAATAAGAGAATTATTCATGTCATGCCTGTTATTGAATGCGATTTTGTAAATAAATAAATGATTTTTCATTAATTTTAGGCTTTATGTTTCCAGCTTTTGTAACTGAGGATGGTGTTCACATATATGTCTTAGTGAGTCATTGTGCTCAACAAAGTTTCATATATGTGGCCAAGAAAAACAGTGGGATTGATAGCAAATGGAATAAAAGAAATATGTATCTGTATGCTTTTCCAAATAGAAAGAGTTGTCTATGAACCCAAACATAGTAACAAGTGTACAAAGATGAAATGCAATGTAGGAACAGTAATAAAGGAGGAATAAACTGTGTTGTTTCAACTCAGTCTACACTCCTCATCATATGGTAAATACAAAATGGGCACTTGAAGACATCTAGATGAGAGTATATAGCAGAAAATCAGATCACAGGATGAGAGCAAAGATAAAAAATCCAAAGAAAGCTTTGACCATTAAACCTCACTGGTCCATACTTAAGTTGAGGTTAGTTTTTTTAATGAAAAAATGGAGACTTATGAATATGACACCCATCTTTCATATGAATAAAGTAAGTTTTAGATTCTCTAGTATGACTAGAGTTGTCTTTATGTACTTATTTAGTCAAGTGACTCCAGTTTCACCTGTGTAAAATTCTAGGCATACATCCTTAAGATAGTGTTGATCCCTCACCAAATGTCTTTTCATAGTTACAATGAACATTTCTGTAAACTAGAAACTAGATCATTGCCAGTTTTCATTATATATATATATATATATATATATATATATATATATATATATATATATATATATATATATATATATATATATATATATATTATTTATTTATTTATTTTTATTTATTTTTATTGGAAACTTGCAATTTATTTATTTATTTATTTATTTATTTGTTTATCATGTAGGGATAACTTAAAATGGGCAACAATCAAGTTATTCAAATTGCCCGAAAAGGCTTGGAAATCTGAAAAGAATATTGATTTTGCAGATGAATGCACCCAATATAAAAGTAAACAAAAATAACCAATTTCAGCCAAAGCAAAAAATTTATTTGTTGTTCCTTATTTATTCACTTGTTGCCACTGTAAGCTCAAAGATCAATCATCCTTGATGTAAAAAGGATGATTGGAGAAAAGTTAGATTAACAAATTAGTAACAGTAGTTAACTTGGAGTAACCAAAATTTATAGGAGCCATAGTGACTGCAAAAAGAATGTGAAAAGGAAGTTTCCTAACTTTTTCCATTCTGCATTGAAATTCATAGCATGGCCTTACTATTAAGTTTCAGCAAGAAATCTGAAATATAAAGATTTCATGGATGATATTAAAAGAAAAAGAAAAAAAAAAGCATATCTAAATGAATGAAGTCTGAGGGGAGAGTGGATGTGATATTATGTTCTAATTCACACATCTCTAAGTATAAACAGGCAAAAAAAGAAAATACTATGAAGTGAGTGTTACCAACAGATAGATAAACTATAAAAAAGGGCAGGCCTATACTACAGGGCTTAACAGTATGGAAAATCATACTGAGATAGACACTTTGCACTGGCATTGATTAGAGTGGGCAGGAATTAGAACATGTTTAATTACCGCATTTACAATAAGGGTCATGAAATTGTGCACACTTTCAGCACAGTTTTATATACATCGTATTACTAAAATATACAAGATAATGTTATTCTATATATTTGTTATATTCTATGTAACTTAAATAAAGTTATAAATTATCACATGCATATACCCATACTTATACATGCATATCCATTGTTTTATTTCATTTCCCATCTCTCCCTGCCACACTATACATACCAGTGTTGCTGCCTTTTGCCTCCCACAATAGCCATGTATTACTGTAGCACTTCCTTCTTCATCAACAATTATCACATGCTAAATGCATTAGAACTATCCTTAGACGACTGTGAGAGACGACAGGCAAGACTACCTGTGGGGAGCCAAGAAGCAACACTTCGCTTCAGCAGCCTTACTCTATAATTACTTATCAGTAAAGGAATCAAGATATATTGCTCGTCTGCCTTAAACCCTAAGCTCATCATTTACCTCTTGTAGGGTCTATATTTGTTGGGATCCTACAGAATACGCATAAACATGTGTATGTATATATTATATATATATATATATATATATATATATATATATATTATATATATATATATATATATATATATATATACATATATATATATATATATATATATATATATATATATATATATATATATATATATATATGAAAGTTATGTAAGGGATAAAACAAAATAAAGTAACATGTTGAAGTGAAAACCCCCGTCACTCATTTACGCGTGTGTGTAAATGAGGGTAATGAATGTGGAAGTTAATGATTTTCAAATGCATAAATGAATACTTGTTTGTATGTTTGTATGATAGTCGCTAGGGCACCACTGTTAAAAGAAGTCTATGATATAATACTGGTAGAGCGGCGAGACTCCTGGCTTGACAAGCAGACTGCTCACCTGCGAGGGCTTACATATATATATATAATATATATATATATATATATATATATATATATATATATATATATATATATATATATATATATATATATATATATATATATATATATATATAATATATATATATATATTATATTATATATATATATATATATATATATATATATATATATATAATATATATATATATATATATATATATATATATATATGTATATATATATATATATATATATATATATATATATATATATATATATAATGTGTTTTTTATGTATACATACATACATACATATATATGTATATGTATATACATAATGTGTTTTTATATGTATATATATATACATACATATGTGTGTGAGTGTGCACACACACACACATGCACACACACACACACACACACACACACACACACACACACACACACACACACACACACACACACACACACACACACACACACACACACACACACACACACACACAAACATACACACATATATATGGCAGAGAGAGAGAGAGAGAGAGAGAGAGAGAGAGAGAGAGAGAGAGAGAGAGAGAAGAGAGAAGAGAGAAAGGAGAGGGAAGAGGGAAGAGGGAAGAGGGAAGAGGGAAGAGAGAGAGAGAGAGAGAGAGAGAGAGAGAGAGAGAGAGAGAGAGAGAGAGAGAGAGAGAGAGAGAGAGAGAGAGAGAGCGTGAGCGTGAGCGTGAGCGTGAGCGTGAGAGCGTGAGAGAGAGAGAGAGAGAGAGAGAGAGAGAGAGAGAGAGAGAGAGAGAGAGAGAGAGAGAGAGAGAGAGAGTGAGAGTGAGAGTGAGAGTGAGAGTGAGAGTGAGAGTGAGAGTGAGAGTGAGAGTGAGAGTGAGAGTGAGAGTGAGAGTGAGAGAGAGGGGGGGAGGGGTGGAATACAGACAAACAGACTGACAGACGCACAGACGCATACAGATAAACACATAGAGAGTACGTGCATATGCAAGCAGCATGAAAGACAGCATCCTGTTATTCTACGCCACTTTCTGCCCACTGGGTCAGCACAAGGCTCCGGGTGAGATATCAAAGTAAAGCACAGAAATACATTAATTGGATGTCTCATCAAAGTCACATGCCATCAACATGCTCACCATGTAATTAGCGTAACACATTATTTTAGAAAATGATATTACGGTTTTTTTCCACATACACTCTCTGCGAAGTCCCGCCTCGAGGTGGAGTCAAAGAGAAAGGTTGATTGCACACCTATGGATTTTCGTTTAAAGCAAAATTGTGCACGAGGCAATGTGTTGCACGAGTTTTAACCCAGTATTTACGCTCTAGAATTTCCTCCGGCATGTCAGACGGTGATATATTCCGTAACCGCCGCATGTTCTGTGAATTTGGCGCAGCTCTCCTGGCGGAAGGATCTGCATTAACAACACCTTATATGATATCCTACCATTTTCGAAAATCTGATTTAAAAATATGAGCAAGGGAAAACTCCCAAGTTCAAGAGGTATAATTTCTCCAAAATATAGTACCCCGTCACCTAGCCACTGACAAACGACTTGCGTCAGACTGCATCGCTCTGTCCGGAACGTTTAGTTCAAAAACGTTCCCAGTGTAGCAGAGCCCGACAGGACAATATGCAACCGTCCGAGACACGTTGGAGTGATATCACCAAGACCGCTTTATTATGACCAAGTCAAAAATTGTGAAGAATGATGATGTCTTCGGAAGAATATCGGGTCAGAAGGTCAGATAAATAACGATGAGGCTTCTATATATCACACAAAAGTGCCACTTGGCGATGAGGATCACCCGATACATTCTTCAGTTACGGTCGAGGTTCTTTTTTTTCAATAGTGTAAGGACATATTTAGCAAACAAAGGCTACTTGTCCCTGTCCAGAATGATGGATGGAACCACAGCTGAGTTTTGTGAATGTGGTAATAGATACAGAGTTAGAACCATTATATATCGGAAATGTTACTCATCTTCCAATTTCCATGTTTTTACGGGATGTTGCGCGCGCGAAGCTGTGTGTGTGTGTGTGTGTGTGTGTGTGTGTGTGTGTGTGTGTGTGTGTGTGTGTGTGTGTGTGTGTGTGTGTGTGTGTGTGTGTGTGTGTGTGTGTGTGTGTGTGTGTGTGTGTGTGTGTGTGTGTGTGTGTGTGTGTGTGTGTGTGTGTGTGTGTGTGTGTGTGTGTGTGTGTGTGTGTGTGTGTGTGTTTTCACATGCCTGCCGATAAGAATCAAACGTCATTAAATGGCTTAATCTTTCAAAAATGTTGATTGGTCTGAAAATGTCCCCAAATTGAATGTTTCCATACGTTTCATATTTCGAAAGCAGTTATTTTGTAAATTTATCGCATTTATGTTATTTAGTGTACTCCAACTGACTCACTGCAACAATAACGGAATTTTATTGTTTAATTTGACTTTGTTATCATTACGGTATTTGAATAATGGCTATTTCACACTTCCCTTGACATGTGTATAGTGCGGGTGTCAACCGAACCCAGAATAAATGCAGGTTTAAAAGTTGACATCCTATTTCGATGCCTTTATCCTCTCTGGTCTACATGTTTTATCCGTCACGTTTTTCTCTTTTTTTTTTTTCGTTGTTTTTGATATATCGACAACAGTAGCAAAGATAGCAACAGCAGTGATATTGCTAATGCCGGTGCTGTTGCTCTCATCGCTGTCATCATAAACATTATCCTCATCACCATGTAA